ATAGATAGATAGATAGATAGATAGATAGATAGATAGATAGATAGATACATAGATAGATAGATACAAAGATAGATACATAGATAGATACATACAAAGATAGATACATAGATAGACAGATACATATAAAGATACTTTATTAATCCCAAGGGGAAAATTTGAGGCGTCCACCTACATTTTCTAATTATACAGAAAAAAATACATATGAAATAATAAAAAAAGAAGCATAATACACAAATTTGGAAAACGAATATGCACATGCACAATGTGGTATGGAGTGCTGTATTCATGATTAACCCATATATAGCTATATATGCATACATACACATCTAAGCATACATATACATGCATATGCATATGCATATGTACATGTATATGCATATGTACATGTATATGCATATGTACATGTATATGTAGCCTATGTCAGTTTTCAGCTACAAAATAACTCTATAGGAATCAATTTGCTGTTGTTAAATACTATTTTATGTGAGTCTGTGTTTACCGTTGATGTTTTTTTTTTTACTGTATACATTCATCTAAAGCACTGAGAACAAATTAAATCTTTGTGACGGGCTGCATGTAGCAGAATTACTAGCTAGGTAACTACAAAGTTGTTAGCCTGTACAAAATTAGCTAGACATCATTTAAAACTACGTCTGTTATTTATAGACACAATGCTGGTTCATTCCTTGAGTTTAGGAGGTTTTTAAACAAACAAACCATCAAACAAACATTCATCTAATAAAGACAAGGGACTAAATTGAAAATTGGTGAACAAGCAGTCAACGTCAAAGAGATAAACTTGGAAAACCCTTCAGAAAGCCCGAAGACATTATTTCTCAAGAAGCCTACTAAAGATTACAAGAAGGTCCGGCTGCTTAGCAACAAGCCTTTTTCACAGTATGCTTGAAGACAACATGACCCTGTCCATAACTCTTTGCTTGCTTGTATCGGTTGCAGTTTGAAGGAAAAACCTCATTTGGGATGTCTGTCTTCAACCTGGGCAACGCAATCATGGGAAGTGGAATTCTGGGACTTGCATACGCCATGGCCAACACAGGAGTCATCTTGTTCCTGTAAGTCCCTCATTAATGATGATGACAGTGCATTAAAACAGAAAACGCAGTGTTTGCAGATAAGAAGTACTCACCGAATCCTGATTTAAATCAAACCCTCCAAGGCTTTTTAAGAGCAAGCATCACCCAACTGTTTTTAATTGTCTTGAGTTAAATCAGCAGCAGTCTTTTTTTAATATACAGAAACTGATGAGGCTTGAAAGGATAAATACTCGTATTAAAAACAGGTTGAAATAATTTATTTGCACCACAAACAAACGGTTATACTCACAGGTGTGGAAAACGACTGCATTGTTTTTGTTGTGATTGATTGTCGGCCTTCAACCAGTCGGATTGTGCATAATGTATGAGCAGTATAACCTTTAGGCTTCATAGCAGCCTTGTATGGCAGAAAAATCACTTGAGGCCTTTGACCTTTCAGTAACATACACTGAAGGCAGCATTTGTCAGTTTATTGCTGTTTTTTATTGCATTTATTACTAGAAGAAAAAACAGAAAGTTGCTGGCATAATAGTAAAAAGCTAATTGGGTTGCAAAGTGCTTTCTTTCAGTATATGATGTATAAATCTCCTCACTGACAGCATATTTTGACTGTTAGCTTTAACTCGGGCATCCTCGGGCATAAATTGACATTGACATCCTCACAGAATTGAAAGATGTATTTGTGATCTATGCTGCCTGGATTCTTGTGTGGGGGGAGTATGTTAGCAAAGTAACTCATAAATCACTAGAGGTATTTGAATGAAGCTTTCAAAAATGATTAACTAAACGTACATCTACATTTACTGTTGAAATCAAACCAGTTCAAGATGGCTGCCAGGGTTGATCAACTTTAGCAAACACAAACATGGTTATAGCACAGTTAGTTTTAAAGATATTGAACTAAACCTTTACGTGGTAGTGGCCAAGAGTTAATCACAGCACATACTCTAAGCACGAACAGATCTTTGGCTGTTTTGCGTAACATTATTTTCTTGAAGAAACCCAAAAGACTGCATCATTTTTCAAAACAGGATGATCTTAGTTTAAAAGCCTTGTCTTTAAAGATTTTTTTTTTAATTCTTTCTAAAATTACCTCTTATAAACAATAGCAGTGACAAGATGTTTGGCTGCTGTGTTGATGGGGAACATCTTACAATGCTTGTTTGTTTGAGGGTCTTTCAAGGTTCAATTCATGAAAACAAAATTCCCCGAGCTTTCCTTGATTTTTCCCAGTCCTGGAATTCTGAGATATTTCAGTCACACAAATCATCCTAAATCATTCCTAATAATATTGAATAACATCAGATACTAAACAGCCACCATTGCCAATCAGTAAGAGTACATGCTCTGTGTACACATTAGAAGGAGAACATGGACTCAATAATAGCATTAATACATGTACATGCCAAATTTTTAGACATATCATTGTTTAATTAGCAGATTAGTGTTCAAATTTCGAGTTTTCCCTGATTTTGGAAGGTTTTCTCAAATTCGGAGTTTGTCCCTGTCTGGAAAATGTGCAAATCATTTTCCAGGTTTTCCCTGACTTCCAGAGTCACCGAACCCTTAAGGTTAAGGTTGGCCTGATTTCTTTTACAGGTCCCGGGATGAACAAACAGACATTTTTCTACAGGTTTATCTCAATCAATAGCAAAGGTAGCTTGTCCTTGTTCATACTGTTTTGACACCCCCACGCTCATGATGCTGCTTGTAAGGTGGCAGGAGCTGGATTATTGGCCGGTTAACAGTTTTATGATAACGTGTCATCTTCTTCTTCTTTCGGCTTTTCCCTCTTCAAGGGTCGCCTCAGTGAGTCATCCTTCTCCATCTCTGTCCTCTTCGTCCTCTGTCCTCACTCCAACTACCTCCATGTCCTCTCTACCTGCATCCACATATCTCCTCTTTGGCCTTCATCTTTGACTTTTTCCTGACAGCTACATTTCTAACATCCTTCTGCCATTTGGACCCCAAATACCTTTGTGACTTCTGGTTCTTGTAGCCTCACTGTTCCACCGGCCTCCCTCTCATTCACACACGTCTCTGTCTTACTACGACTGACATTTCATTCCTCTTCTTTCAAGTGCATACCCCCACCTCTCCAATCTCCCTTCCACCTGTTCCATGTTCTCACCACAGATCTCAATGTCATCCGCAAACATCATAGTCCATGAGGATTCCTGCCTGAGTTTTATGATTAGCATAATCTGTTTACATAATTCAAACAATCTAACTGGAATTATTTTTATCGTGGCTCTGTAAAATATCAGTGTAAATTCATAGAAAAAGGGTCTTGAATTGTAGCATTGTTAAAAACTAAATGCTCTCTTGTTTCACTCCTGTAGTAATATGTAGTAGAAACAAAGTACAGCAGAGAAACATATGCATATTTGTGTCAAGATTTAAATCAACCTATGAAATAATGTTAAATAAAAACCTTGAAATGTTTAATAAGCGTTGTATTTATCGTCTTCTTTGAGGATTTTTATCTCCTGGTAAAAAAAAAAAAAAAAAAAAAACGCTCCTCATTTTGATCCGAGATGTGTGACTGTGAGTTTTGTCACTGAACTGTGGCTGTGTCACTGGGTTAAACAGGAGCTAAAATAATCCCAGTCAGCCAGGCCACATCATTTATTCATGCAATCATGTGTTAATTGGTAGTACGTGACTTTGTGCACCTGCCCGTCCTGTCGCAGATAAAAGGCCGTGGCTTTGTGTTTATGTCTGATCTTGTAATAAACAATAGAGTAGCAACTGAGGAACAGCCAGGCTCCGTGACTTTCTTTGGTGAAACAACGGCGGCTAATTTTCTGTGACTTCAGGCTTGTGATCCTCCCTCTTTCTTGTCTCCAGCATGCTGAATCATTGTGAACCACAGGCTCTTTCCTAAACAGAGACATACGACCTAAATAAATAAATCAACAAGTCTAACATGTTGCACAGGGAGAAAGGCAAAGTTAACATCAATGCTACCAGTAAAGCACTATGTTGCACAACGTTTTTGTCAAATAGAATGCTCTTTTATACTCATTGTTGAACAGAAAATTGTCTTTCATAGCTTAATGTCAAAAAAAATAAATACAATTCTTAGAGCCACTTCTGGGATCTCGCTGACTTGAGGCACTCCACATCTATTTACAAATTTATATTTAGACTTATTGGGTCATAATTTACACAAGAGGTGTTAAGTGAATCGCAGCTGGCCTACAGAAAGAAAGAGAAAATGTATTCAGCTTGATTTTTTTGTTCAGCACTCAATACGACTCTTGTCTGTTCATACTTGTAATCCAACAGTGTTCATACGAAAATACTATAGTTATTATGAAGGAAGTTTCTGGTCACTGTAAAGTTCAATAATTAAAGTCACTATTTCCCAACATTTTTGGTCTGAGATTAGATTTGTGCCAATGTAGCCGTTTTGATTCAACATGTAAGACAGTGCATTGCCTTGCGAGGCAGTGCCGGTAATACAGCTAATTAGCTTGATCAGATCAAAGATAGTAGTTGATAGCATTAGCATGTTAGCTTAGCATTAGCATCACCTGTTAGCATTTGAGTTAACACCAGTACCTTGTTATTCGAGGTCAGGTGGGTCACCTGCAGAGATTTGGCAGGAAAATAAGGTGTTAGCCTAGCATGCTAGTTAGCATGCTAACAAAGTTTAAACTATCTGGATGAAACTCAGATATGTTGATCAGCATCAGATGCTGATCAAGATATGGTAAATAATAAGCCTGATCAGATCAAAGATACACTCATTTGCTCACAAAGACGCCATATTTCCTCATAGGAAATGAATGGGAGACCACTCCTCACAGAAACTGAGTAACGTTTGAAGCCATTTTGATTCTACATGCAATGCAGGTAATGTAGCTGATTAGCCTGATCAGGTAAAAGATAGTAGTTGATAGCGTTAGCATGTTAGCTTAGCATTAGTATCACCTGTTAGCATAATGAGAAAGCCAGCTAAAGAATGTTTGAAAATTAATTGTTTACAGTCAAATGTTTTCTAAAAATATATATTTTCTATTTGTTCTTCTATTTAATGCGTCCTTTGTCATCGTTGTGATTTTAAAATCTGACTAATGCTGTCAGAGGATGAAGCATCAGTTCAGCATCTAAACTCTTAGTTCCTGTTATGTCACCGTAATTTATTGATTCATTCTTTTTTAGTTGCTCACTTCTGAGGGCGTCGCCGCAGAGTGAACTCGCATGGCAGATTTGGCAATTGATTTGCGGGTGATGCCCATCTTGACTCCAGCTGAGCTTGAACCCATAGCCTAGGGATTACGAGAACATTGCACTGACCACTGAGCTACCGCCCCCCCGCCCCCCATTATAGTGTTGTAATCTGAGCGGATATTAGCTTCTGAAATAAACAAAACCGTCACTAAAACAAAGACTGTGGAGATGGCAACACACTTAGTTCTAAAACCAGTAAGAAGTATTTGTGTTACAGCTAGTTATTGTGTAACATCAGTATAATCTTACTTCTAACCTACAAAGCCCACAACAACCTAGCTCCATCTTATATGACAGATCATATTGTCCTATATTTTCCTAACAGAGCACTTCGCTCTCAGACTGCAGGTTTACTTGCAGATCCTAGAGTTTCCAAAAGCAGAATGGGAGGAAGAGCTTTCAGTTTTCAGGCTCCTCTCTTGTGGAACCAACTTCCAGTTTCTTTCTGTAAGGTTGACACATTGTCCAGTTTTACGACTTTCCTTTTTGATAAATCCTATAGTTAGGGTTGGCTTGTTATGCTGCCATAGGCTTAGACTACTAGAGGACAAACTGACCTCATTTCTTAAAATGAATTGAATACAATTGAATAGTTTTCATTTGATTTTATTTCTATCAACATGTGATTCTTGACCTGCCATTGTGTATCTGTTCTTCTCAAACCCACTCAGTCGAAGCAGATGGCCGCTTGTCCTGAGCCTGGTTCTGCTAAAGGTTTCTTCCTCATGAGGGAGTTTTTCCTTTCCACTGTCGCCTTCATGCTTGCTCAAGATGAGAGTTCTGCGACGGAGTTAAACTCAAAGGAGTCTGCTCCTCAGATACTTGACGTTTTTAACTTACTTTTTATATATAAATGTTTCTGTTCAGCGCCCTGAGACGACTTCTGTTGTGACTTGGCGCTATATAAATAAACTGAATTGAATTGAATCAATAGTATTCTAAAATGAAATATGTAATCCTCTCTGCAAGTGAGCTGTAATCGAAGCTTTCTTGTCTTTATCATGAAGTCTAGACAGGCCCATTTCCAGATTTTACTCATGCAAATAAGACATATTCCACTTAATTAAGTTATGCTAAATAAATAATAAGGTCTCCCATTATTTTTTTTGGTTTTATTTTCTGTTATTTCTTTTACTGCATTGTTTTCATTCTAAACTTGGGGAAAATTTGTAGGCAAATAATAAAATGTGTCTAATAAGTATTTAGTAAATCATTTTGTTCCTTTGTGGCCCGTGCCGTGATGTTTCATATCCCTCAGATGCTTTTGTGGGTGCAGGTCAGAGTGTCGGCGGTTCTGGTCCGGGTGGGAATTCCGTAGGGTGGAATTCCCCGGAGCAAAGCAACAGTAACCCAAGTGTGTCAACCAGTCTGACTTCAGCAGATCTGTCTTCCCACTGCCACTTGACTGACTGAGTCCTCACCAGCAAGTCAGCTCAGCATTCTTCCACAGTTTGAAGGAAAAAAAAACAACAAAAACTGTTAACTAAGAGTTGAAGCTGGCGTGAAAGACGAGATGCCTGGCCTTTCGAAAAGGAAAGGATTGAGAGAGTGTTTGTGTGAGAGCAAAAGTTAATGTTGCCAATGGTAGCAACAAAAGACCAAAGTGTAAATGGTTGGAATGAGGTGGATTGGGTCAGAAAAAGCCCGGGGATCAGCGGACCATTCATGGAATTTAGTCCCAGAATTTACGGCATGAGTAAAATACTGAAAATAATACTTAAAATTGTTTCTCAAACATGTCGTACTAAAATGTTAACCCATTTGGTCAATATGCCTCCACAAAGACGTCATATCTTTGAGACCTTAGTGAGTTTATAGATCAGTCTTGATGCTTGAGAGCAACAGTGCTTTCAGATTCATTTATACTGTATTATATTTTTCAGGATGAAATTTTGCCATCAACTACTGGTAAAATACCATAAAAATATAATTTTGAGCTTTGCATTGTATTTGTTGATGGGAGCCTGTAATCAAATTTACACAATGACTGTTTTGATGTGGGCTGAACGATTAATTGCATTTGCAATAATATCGCGATGTGATAAAATGAGATTGTCTAATTGCAAAGACTGCAATTTGACTGGTCACATGATCTGGTTACGTGACTTGCGAGTGAGAGTGGGAGAAGTCAACGTTGCACTTTAACCGGTTGCACAGCGGCGTCAGGCTCGACGGAAGCTGAAACATCTGAAAGTTTGGTACCAAAGAGGGGCAGCACGTCCGTTGTTTGGAATTATTTTGAACCTGCCTTGTTGCTGTTGCTACCTCCCGAGGTAACATCATGAATCTTGATCAACACTTAAAAAATCACCACAAAGCCATTTACGATGGTTACATAGCTAGAATGCCAATGACCAGTGCTTCAACTTCAAGTGAGCAAAGTACGAGCGGACAGGGATCACTGACCGAACTGTTCGAACGTATTACTCCGTATGAACATAATTCGAAACGGCACGCTGAAATAACCCGAGCATTAATGGAGTTCATAGCTAAAGACATGATGCCCATTAATATTGTGGCTAAGTCTGGGTTTACGGCTTTGATAAACACAATGGATAAGTGGTACAGAATGCCCTCATGCACACATTTTAGCCAAGTTGCTATCCCGGGCTATACAAAAAATGCAGAAACAGAATTTCAGCAGAGTTGAATACAGTGGAGTTTTTTGCAACGGAAACAGATTGATTTATTGCTTGTGTTTGTTGAAAAATACGAGAAGACATTGAAAAATAATCGCATATTAAATCGCAATTGCGATATTGAGGTAAAAAAAAAAATCGTAATTAGAATATTTTCCAAAACCATTCAGCCCTAATGTAAATTACAGCAAACAAGTTTGTATTATCTTTTTTTTTTTAATGGTAAAAAGAAACAAAACAACAACAGTTCATTATTGTTCACTGCTATTTCATTATATGTTCAAAATTTGAAATTCTAGCAACATTATTTACAGGTTTTTTTTTTTCTTACAGCGTAGGGAAATGACTGAAAATAAAAGCAGCAACTTGCTGGGACTGAAGTGAGAGCTTTTCTCATGTGAAAAATCTAAGCACTGCAGTAAAGAGGCTGCACAACGTATCTAAAACACATCGTTATCACATTATTATCAATACGTGCAAAATCAAAAGGTTGCAATAACTCACACGGTGTGTTGTGATGATAAAATAAAAAGCAACAAGTGAAGAAAATGTAAGTTTCTAGAAGCTGATAACAAAAATTATACATTTTCTTAATTTTTTTTTGTTTCTCCTCAATAAATCAATAACACTTTTTTTTAACTGCTTACTTGTGTTCGTGTGTTAGCTGTTGTCACGAGTGGTGGTGGTGATGGTGGTGGTGGGGTGGGGGGGGGTGTCGGGGCTAACAGGGCAACCTCTGTGGCTCAGCTGGACCAACCATCTGATGTGAAGCAAAGCCACAGGGTTTCCAGTGCAGTCCGAAAAATAAAAACAATTCTCATACCACAGCTGTATGGCTAGCCTACAGAGTGCTGTACAGTGTACAGATGTTATGCAGACAACTACAATTTTTAATTGTTATTGAAAACTTAATTACTCTGTTTTGGCGACGACAGAAGAGGAAGTAATGCACATCTTGTCTATCTGTTTCAGGCTACTCCTAACAGCGGTGGCAGTTCTTTCATCATATTCCATCCATTTACTACTAAAATCATCTGGTATTGTAGGTACGTACGCAGCTAAACAATCTGCATCTGCTAAGAAGCACACACTGAAATGATAATATCAAACTAGAGAAATTGCATTTCCTGCAAAAATGCAGTGTGAATGCTTAGTGCAGAATAAACTGCTGAGAAACAGCTGAAATTAGCTAAAAAACATGCTGAAGTGTAGCTGAAATGGTAGAACAAGCCTAAATTAGCAGAAGAAAGCTGAAAGAACACATATTTGCTGGAACTGGTTTAAATATTCAGAAATTAGCAGAAAAAATTTGGAATGTAGCTAAATGGCGTTAATTAGCAAATAAATGGCTGAAAAGTAGCTGAAAGGCAGAATGAAGCTTATACTACTGTACTAGAAGGAAGTGGAAAGAGTTGAAATGAGCTCAAAATGTGGAATTAGCTGAAAAAGCTAAAATTAGTATAAAACAACTAAATAGCAGCTGGAATTGCAAAAATAGCTGAAACTAGCATAATTAAGCTGAAATGAGCAAAACAAGCTGAAATTAGCGGAAAGACGTTAATTAGTATAAAAGTATTACCACAAAAAACTCATCTGAAAACAGCTGAAATTAGCTATAAAATGCTAAAAAAAAAAATAGTTTAAAAGGTTGAACAAGCTTAAATTAGCATAAGGAAATGGAGAGAACACAATTTTGCCCAATTAGGCTGCAAGAAGCAGAAGTGAGCACAAAAGAGTGGAAGTTATCTGAGAGGGAAAAAATGAGAAATTTTCAAAAACAACAAAACAAAAAACAGCTGTATAGTAGCTAAAAAAGAATAAAACTGTTTAAATTACCATACGAAAGTGGTGAGAATTTTTTTTTGCTGAATTGAGCTGAAAAAGGTTTAAATGAGTGCAAAAAATGTGGAATTAGCTCAAAAAGCTCAAATTAGCATAAAAAATAGCAACTGAAATAGCAGAAATAGTTGAAACTTGCAGAAATAAGCTGAAAAGAGTATAACAAGCCAAAATGAGCAGAAAAAGTTAGAAGAAGCACAATAATGTTGTAGTTAGTAGAATAAAGCAGAAAGGAACACAAACTGTTGAAAAAAACAGCTGAAATTGGCTGAAAGGAGCTGAAAAAAAGCTTAAATTTGCACAAGAAAGCTGAACCAGAACAAAATGTGAAAAGAGCAGTAAGTGGATATTATCTGAAAAAAGCTGAAATTAGCCAAAAACAGCTGAAAAGTAGCTAATTTTTTTTAAAAGAAGCTTAAATTGCCATAAGGAGGTGGAGAGGGCACATTTTTGCTGAATTCAGTTAAGAAAAGTTTACATGAGTGCAAAAAATGTGGAATTAGCTAATAAAGCTCAAATTTGCATAAAATAGCTGAATAGTATTTGAAATTTCTGAAAAAGCTGAAACTTGCAAAAATAAGCTAAAAGGAGCATACCAAGCTAAAATCAGCAGAAAAAGTTAGAAGAAGCACAAAAATGTTTTAGTTAGCAGAAAGAATCTGAAAGGAGCTGAAAAAAAGTTTACATTTGCACAAGGAAGCTGAAAGAAGCTGAAGCAGAACAACATGTGAAAAGAGCAGTAAAAGGTTGTAAACAGATCTAAAGATGTGAAGGATGTAAAATAAGCTCAATTCATTTTCTATGAGGAAAAAAAAGTGGCAGAAAAGGCTAAATAATTCAAAAAGCTAAAGTTGCACCAATACCAAAAGTCATAGCAGGATTGTCCTGAAAGAGCTGAACGTTTTGATTTATGATTTGTTGAAATAGCACAAAAAATGTGGAACGAGAACGATGCTCAAACACGCATGGAAGAAAAATGGATCACAATAGTGTGAATGCTTCATGAACATTCACACAATTATCGTGATACGTGGACTTGTCTACTCTGGCCTGAAACATAAAACCAACATGATTAGATTTAGGGTTTCTGCTCAGCCTACTAATGTACATTTAACACATGATTTATATTGTTTTTGATGCTTGTGCCGCAGGTATTCGTGCATATGAGCAGCTCGGCTACAGGGCTTTTGGAACTCCGGGTAAGATGGCGGCAGGTATTGCCATCACGCTGCAGAACATTGGAGGTGAGGTCGTTTATCAACACAACTTGCATTCACATGTACATTTTGTTTTTTTTAAAGTTTCTTCTGATTTTTCTGGGATGTTGCTCACATTAGCTTGTTAAATGTTACATGTTTAAAATATCTGTGTGCTTATGTGAATGATTCAAGAATATTTTTTAATATAAACGTCTCTCTGTACTTATGTCTCTGCTCCACAGCCATGTCCAGTTATCTTTACATAGTCAAATATGAATTTCCTTTGGTCATCCAGGCATTTCTGAAGGTGGATAACCCTGCAGGGTGAGTGGATGACACATGACATAATGTACAGTTCGAGTTGGGAGTTTGCTCCAAATGCACGACGTTACAACGTCCAAACAAGTCCACAAAAAATCCCAAAGAGTAATGCTAAAAAAAAAAGGAAATGCACTGTCCCATCACTTCCTTCCTTCATGAGTCATGCGTTTTCAAAGATTGAGTTGTCTGCTGAAGGACCCTGTCAGGCCGTGCCAGTTGTCGGGCCTGGTCCAGCATGAGAACAGCTGCGTTAGCGACCCCAGAGACGCCGAACCACACGGCCACTGAGAGCAGTCGCATCGAAACACAGCAAGACTCCACAGCTGAAACTGTAAACCGAGATATCACTGTTTAGTGCAGGTGGCCTCTGAGACAAACACAGAAACGTTCTCAGATAAAATTCCTTAAAAAGTTTACCCCAGTAATGAAATGTTTCTTTTTTTTGTTTGCTTTTGAGAATGTTAATGTATATAACATGAAGATGCTGCAGAACGTTTGGACTGATGAGACATGCTGGTGTAGAAGTGACAGATGGTGACAACACACACACACACAGACACACACACACTGTGTTGTGTTGTTCAGCCTTTTGTTCCCTCGGTGTAGCAGCGTCACCGCTGTGGGTCACGGTCAGCAACAATCAGAGCTGATCTGAAATGACAAACGAGGTTGTGCCAGTGGCATCTCATCCTGCCTCAGCTGTATGTTTGTGTTGCTAAAAGGCACGAAGGAGGTCGGCGAACGAACAATCACACAATCTGTGTTATCCTGAGTCGCAGGCACATAATGCTCATTATTTTATTGTGGTGCGCCTGTAATGCTTTTCTGATAGATTTAGTTTCATTGTATACTGTAAGTACAATGCTCGTATTGTTCTGTTCGCTCTGCGAGTGCGAGCATCGTTTGTGTTTATAGATGCACGCTGCCTGACCCCGGTCCGTTCATTTGTTAATGAATACTCAAGCTTGTGTCAGTGTTCTTCCTCAACCAATCAGCCTGTTAAAAAGTGAGTGGTGCACACATTTCTGTGCGAACTGTGTGCAAATCTGCCTGTGGTGGTTTGGGTTGAGATTGTATGGGATTAGGACAGCGCCCATAAACCAGACGGCCACAGAGGAGAAGAGCTTCTTAATTTTTCAAGTGTTTGATGCAACAGATGTTGCATCTCAATGCCTCCTACCTGACAGAGGGCAAGAAAATAATCACCCCTGCTGCAGTGATCTAAAAATAACTCTTAGAGGTTTATGTTCCTCGACATGGACGTTCATGCGACGGCAACATGTGGCTGGTTGAGTTGAGTCTCTGCGACAAACGTTTTGCTGGACTTTGCATACTAATCTCAAGGTTCTTTATTGTCATTCGCATCACATATGGTACATGAGGTGGAACGAAATTGTGTACTCAAGGTCCAAGTTACACCCCAAAATAGTAAAAATATAAAGTCTAAAAATAAACAGTATACAAGGCTCTAAGATATACACTAACAATGATAATATAATACAATACGGTGTATTAAACAGCATTCTGAACATGAGTCTGTTGCGAGCAGGTGGGTATAAATACAGCAGCTTAAAGGCAAGAAATCAGCAGCAAGGATAATCAGCAGCATGGATAAAGTCACATATCTCCAATTAAAGTGTCATTACAGTGATTTTTCTGGTTAGGGATTTATGAGTCTAACAGCTTTAGTGTAGAAGCTGTTCCTCAGTCCAGTGATTCTACACTTAATGTTTCTCAACTTCCTGCCTGAGGGGAGCGGGAAAAAAGTGTGTATGCTGGGTGAGTGGGGTCCTTCATGATGCAGGTGGCTCTCTTCCTGCATCTGGAGGTGTAGATGTCTGTGATGGTGGGGAGACTGACTCCAACAGACTTCTGTGCAGCCTTCACCACTCTCTGCAAAGCGTTTCTTTCTGCAGCTGTGCAGCCTCCATGCCACACGTTGATGCTGGAGCGCAGGATGCTCTCCACTGCACACCTGTAGAAGGAGGTGAGGACTGAGCTTCCCAGATCACCTCACCTCAGCCGCCTGAGGAAGTAGAGTCTCTGATGAGCTTTCTTGATCAGGCTGGTGGTGATGTTGCTCCAGCTGAGGTTGTTATTGGGGGGGTTGCTCCTTCTCAAGTCCACAACCATCTCCTTCACCGTCTTCACATTGATGTGAAGGTTGTTCTTCCTGCACCAGCTCTCCAGGTGTTCCACCTCCTGCCTGTAGCTGGACTCTCTACTAGTTAGTCAAAATAAAAAGATTTATTTTGGGTTTGGAAGTTGAATGTAAACTCTGGATTAACACAAAATCTATTCCCATACAAGATTTATGTGTTCGGGGGTGGGTGGGGGTGGGGGGTGTTGGTTGGTGGGTGGGGGCGGGTACGGTAGCTCAGTGGTCTGTGCCGCGGTCTCGTAATCCTGAAGCTGCAGCTTCAGAAAAGGACATTCAGTGTAAAACAGTGGCCATATCTTTCGTACAAGTTCACTCACTGTGGCAAACCCTTAAAAAAAGGGAGCAGCCGAAACAAGAACAACAGCAGCAAGGTTTATATGTTTATTGTGTCCTTAAATGTGATTTTTTTTCTCCACATATACAACTTTACATGTTCTGTGAAAATTCAGACACTAACTGGCTTTTTTTAGACTGATGAATTACCTGTATAAAAAACGACTGCATGAAAACAGAAACTTGAGGGTTATTTATCATTTAATTCTAAGTAAACTAAGTTTCTTTATCAGTAGCAGTAAACTGCACAGTAGTTTTCCGAAGTTTTAATTTGTGCAGAATTTAAATTCAGTCTTAAAACCTATTCAAAAAGCAAGACGTCCTTGTTTTTTCTGCTTGTTTTGATTTGTGTGAATTTCTGTTCAGATTTAAATGATTAAATAACCCTTTGTGGTGCTTTAATCCTTATTTCTTTTGTGCCTCCTATTATTTTTCACTGTTCCCATACAGGTTCATATCTGACTCAGATGCTTTAAAGACATTAAATTAAAGGGGTGTTTATGCTAATTTCAAATCAATACTCAAACAGTAATTTGTTTTTGTCTGTCTGCCTCTCCACAGTGAATGGTACCTGAATGGAAACTATCTGGTCATTATCGTGTCTGCGGCAGTCATATTACCTCTGGCTCTCATGAAGCAGTTAGGTAAGTGTGCAATATTATGACCTTTTATTTCTTCAGCACTTTTGTATTGGGGCCACAGTGGCTCTAATTGTAAAATGTTAGTTAACACCAGCCTCCAGAAAAGAGTGGGTCAAGTTCATAAAAGTTGGTTACATCTAAATCCTTCAACATATGCAGCATGAGATACTGTATTATCTCTTCTTCTGTTTGTTAAACTTTCAAGTTGACAAAAATATGTTGCTGTTAGAGATGCAGTGTCAATATCAGAGAGAGCAATATAAAGCGTGAATGCAATGTAGAATTCGTAACAATTTTTAAATCAAAGTAGAATGAAGTAAAAATAACTATAGAAATTGCATTTCCTGCTAAAATGCAGTATGAATGCTTACTGCTGAAGAACTTGCTGAAAAACAGTTGAAATTAGCTAAAAACATGCTGAAATGTAGCTGAAATTGAAGAACAAGCAGAAGAAAGCAGAAAGAACACATATTTGTTAAATTACATTTAAATAAGCAGAAATTATCACAAAAATTAGGAAATAAGGTTATAAAGCCGAAATGGTCAAAAAATATCTGAAAAGTAGCTGAAAAGGCAGAAAGAAGATTAAACTACCAGGAGGAAGTGGAAGAGCTTTAAAAATGGATATTAGTTGAAAAAGCTAATTTTAGCATAAAACAGATAAAAAGTCGCTGAAATAGCAGAAAAAGCTGAAAAAGCTGAAACTAGCAGAAAAAAGCTGAAAAGAGCTGAAATTAGCAGAAAGACGTTAATTAGGCTGAAAATAGCAGAAATTACCAAAATAAAGAATTTATCTGAAAACAGATGAAATTAGGAGAAAAATGCTTAAAAAAATAGCTGAAAAGGTAGAACAAGCTTAAATTAGCAGAAGAAAGCAGAAAGAACACGTTTACCCAATTAGACTGAAAAAAGCAGAAATGAGCAACAAGTGGATATTATCTGAAAAAAGCTGAAATTAGCCAAAAACAGCTGAAAAGTAGCTAAAATTTTCTAAAAGAAGCTTAAATTACCAGAAGGAAGTGGAGAGGGCACATTTTTGCTGAATTCAATTAAGAAATGTTGAAATGAGTGCAAAAAATGTGGAATTAGCTAATAAAGCTCAAATTTGCATAAAACAGCTGAATAGTATCTGAAATTGCTGAAAAAGCTGAAACTTGCAGAAATAAGCTGAAAGTAGCATACAAAGCTAAAATCAGCTGAAAAAAGTTAGAAGAAGCACAAAAATGTTTTAGTTAGCAGAAAGAATCTGAAAGAAGCTGAAAAAAAGTTTTCATTTGCACAAGGAAGCTGAAAGAAGCTGAAGCAGAACAAAATGTGAAAGAAGCAGTAAAAGGTTGTAAACAGATCTAAAGATGTGAAGGATGTAAAATGAGCTCAATTCATTTTCTATGAGGAAAAAAGTGGCAGAAAAAGCTAAATATTTCAAAAAGCTAAAGTTGCACCAATACCAAAAGTCATAACAGGATTATCCTGAAATAGCTGAACGTTTTGATTTATGATTTGTTGAAATAACACAAAAAATGTGGAACGAGAACAATGCCGAAAAATGAATATGAAGAAAAATGGATCACAAGAGTGTGAATGCTTCATGAACATTCACACAAAAATAAAACTTGCATTTTAGCCAGATACAAGACTTATGGTCTTTCCTACTGTTTGTCATGTTGTAGTGCCCAATTTGTGTTTTTAATTTCTCCATTAAATCATCTGTCATGGGTGTTTACACGTCTGTACCTGGATTGTCTTGGTGCTGCTGATGTTTCTGTTTCACTTATAAAAGCTCTTAATTATAAACACTGGCCCGAGTGATAAAATTCCATTGATCTAGAACAGAAAGTCTCATTTTCACAAGATGTGTGGAGAGTGAAAACAAACAGGCAAGAAGAAAAGAGGGCAGAGAGATCCAGGCTGGAAATGAGAAATGAGGGCATTTATGACTGATCTTTTGCTAACATGTTCATCACCTGGAAGGATGCAGTGAAATAAAAAAGCCCCAGAACATTAAGCCAAATAAAAGTACTTTACACATTCTGGAGAATGCATCTGCTATTAGAAATGACATATATTTAATGTGATGTAACCTCTGATGACTGGAACACTAATGATGCGTTTATATTTCAGGATACCTGGGGTACACCAGTGGCTTCTCACTGAGCTGCATGGTGTTCTTTCTCATTGCTGTAAGTCCTCTGATCATACGTGCAAAACACACATCACATGTTGCTTCCTGTTTCTCGTCCCATCATTGAGAAGTGCCAGGATGGTCTCACCAGCTCTCTACTATTCTCTGCTGTCCCTTGTAATTGGACTAATGTTTGCATGCTGCAGTTTCAGGCTACGTTGGCTGTCTGCTTTTCTCTGACCCAGTTTCGGCTGCGTGAGCTGTAATCCACTCGTTGCTCTCCCTCCCTCTCATTTTTCTCCTCTGGCTCTCTCTATGACATATTTTCTGCCAGTCCGCATCATAACTGCACCCCACAGCCTTTGATTTTGGTTTAAACACCTCTCCTTTGTGCACCGCGCAGGTCATCTACAAGAAGTTCAACATCCCCTGCCCTTTTGTGGACTTTGCCCATAACAGCACTGGTCACGAGCTGAATGTCAGTGCCGCCAACCACGGCGGAGAGCCAGATCCAGCGTGCATTCCCAAGATGGCCAACCTCAACATACAAGTACGTTTTATGCATGTTGGTCTCTGTGGAACGGCAAGACTCCCTGCACTGCTACGACCTCTGATGTCACAGCCATCAGCATGTTGCCAGTCCCTCCTCACAATCCGAGCATGGAAACCCTGGTTTGAAACGGTCTCAAGAACGCATCAGAACCGTAAAGAAGTTCAAGGTTCAGAGCAGTGACCACCAGTCTGTCTGAAGAAATTAGAAAATAATTAGAGCCTTTGTTAGACACAGTGGAGCTATAAAATCTTGCTTCTTAGAACCAAAAAGACACTTTGTGGCCTTGAAGGGGTCAGACTTTCTGAAGTAGGTTGATGATAACTTACCTGTTGGAGAGCTCTGTTTGAACAACTCAGTTCTGAGAAACAGTTTAATTCTGACCGGACTGATTAGCTAATGGCTAGTCCAAGCAGGACCAACACCTTGTCGTCTTATCTGTCAGTGTTGCATTACACAAATATGTCGATAAAATGGTTCTTTGTAAGTGCAAAAAGCAGCAGTTTTAGCACTATTTGTGCTGCCTGGGGCACTTCCAGCCTAACGCTGCCAAAATAATTGTGTAACGTGAAACGTAAGAGCAGTGTAAAGGTTTATAAAATAGTGTTTCTTGATAGGCTGCATGCAATGACGTTTTTAAAATTAGAACAAATCTAAAACGGCAGCTGTAGCTGCACAAATCGAAAACTACAAATATTAACAGCAATCATGCTTAAATCTTACATACTGTACTTCAGTGTGTTTAAGACTCATTATGTTGGTGATTAGAGCAAAGCTAAAACAAATTAGTGCCACAAATGTACAATATATTGAACCTACAAATACACATTATTTTGTCCTTGTCCTAAAAACATGTTGATATCATGAACAAATAGAAATTTTACATGACAATGTGCTTTCCATTTCATGTTCATATTTAATATAACCCATAATGCAACAGTCATGCACAGAGGCAAACTGTGGTCACATGTCATGTTGCATATCATCTTAAAGAAAACCTCACAAGCCAGTTTTAATTAAAAAATGTCTCTAATAAATCATCATTTTAGCCATTTTGATACATTTTTAAAAGCTTTAAAAGAAAATACACTTGAAAATTTAAATTGCACTAAAGCGTGTCTCAGACAATTACAGCACTTTGGTCTCATCAGTTCAGTCAGAGTAAACTCTTATTTCTTTCAATGGAGGTCAATCAAAGAGCTATCTGTAGCAGGTAAGATATTAATAGTTCATAACCTTTTCCAAAGAACTTCACTTCAATAGATCTGAACTATCTCACCCTGAATTCACTTAAACACTGCAGACTTTAACAAAGCTAAATGTTTTCCAAAGTAGCAGCAAATATTCAGTCAGGATCTTGGTTGTTAAGATTTTTTTTTTAAAGTTTTTATCATTCTCTGTGTTTTTCTGACTCGGGCTGAGAGGACCGATCCCCTCTGCTGAGCAGTTTACAATCAAGGCATTTTTTAAATAGTCTGAAGCTGCTTTTCTGCCAACACAACGTTAATCACAGGAAACAATTAGCTCTCTGTGATTTGTCAGAGGGAGTAATGGGCAGTAAAGTGTGAGGTTGGTGGGTAAGACGTCTGGGATGGCGCTGCTGTATCTATGGTGACCTGTTGGGTTCATTTGCAGACGGCCTACACCATTCCCATCTTGGCGTTCGCCTTTGTGTGCCACCCTGAGGTCCTCCCCATCTACACAGAGCTGCGCAAGTATGTTCTTATGATAGAAAACTCTTATTAGCATTGTTTGGACAAAAGATCAGTATGCATATAAAAAAGAAGAAAACCCGCTGTGCTTTGTGCTCGGCTTGCCATATTCTAGTCACATGCACTGCTTTCACTTTATTTTGAAAAGTCTCAACACTGCTCGTGTGGTGAAGCATGAATGATCCCGCTTTAAGCCACTGCTGCTTATTTGTCCAAGACTGATGCTGGACTTGTTCTTAAATCTGGGCACAATTTAACAAGAAATCTAGAAAATTCAGTTTAAATAAGTTAATTTTGTATAGGCAAAACAGTGGATGTCCTTTGTATGTGTGTGTGTGTGTGTGTGTGTTTGACATCACAAAGCAACATTTTCTGATTTCAGTCCCACCAAGAAAAAGATGCAACAAGTGTCCAACATCTCCATCACAGTCATGTACGTCATGTACTTCCTGGCAGCTCTTTTCGGATACCTAACTTTCTATGGTGAGGCCTGTCTGTCTCTGTCTGTCTGATTATTGTTGATGTTTTTATTGAAGCACAGTGAATATTTACCATATTTTTCGACCTATAAGTCACATTTTTTGCATAATTTTTACATGCCCTGCAACTTATACGCCAAAGCGACATATTTATGGATTTTTCTTATATTTATAAACCAATTTTTGGCTGAGAGATGACTGTTATCATTCATTCTGACTGAAAATATTGAACACTACCATTTTCAGCCACTAGAGGGCACTCGAGTTGTATGGCATGCCGTTGTGTCATGTAATAGATAAAAGTGGCTATTAATGACACAATCGGCTTGCCATAGCCTGGCACCTTTGTCCAGCTCGTCTCAAGCAACCTTCAAATCAGCTTCATTTCGCTGTGCCGCCGCAGCAAAATGCAGCTAATTTGACCATTGAAGTGCATTTATTAAGTAAAAGTTCAACTGAGACACAACTTTACTATAATATTGAGCAAACAAATAATTGTTTTAGGCACTTATATTGTTAAATTGCAAAGAAATGCAGTGTTCCTCCTTCCTGATTTCCTCCCTCAGGGCGTGCTCCCGGAGCACCGAGGCAACAATTACTTTTGAAATGCAGCTGATTTGAATGTCCAAGTGCATTTATTAAGGAAAAGTTAAACCGAAACACAACTTTACTATAATTTCTAGCAAACCAATAATTGTTTCTAAGTGTTAATCTGGTTAAATTCTTGTTAAAGTCCTTCCATGCACGCTCCCACGGCCACCATTTGGCAGCCAATTGATCTTTGGCACAACACCGGCCCACATTTCCAGGTTGTCAGCGGTGATGCGTAACAAACATGACGCGTCACCGCTGACACATAATAGATGCAATGTATACGGCGAAGCAACGTATTTATGGATTTTTCCACTTTATTAGACATATTTGAACTGATGAGACTTATGGGGCGGTGCAACGTGTACGGCATAAAATATGGTACTTGTTTTGGCGTATTTCTCACAAAACTGGAAGGTGCGTTCTTAAAAGGAGCTCAAAAGGCGCCACAGAATGGATGTAAAATCTCTGTAATATCTACAAACACATCAGTGCTAACAGAACGGCAAGTTATTGCATCGTTTTCGCAAATAGACATATTGTTAATAATACAACAGTATACTCTGATAGCGTATAAAATGGTCAGTATTTTGAAGAAAGTACTCTTGGTGATAATGCACAATGGGTGTTCTTTTTTTTTTTTTTTTTTTATAAAATACTCAAAACTATGGACACTATTAAATAGAAAATAAATGCACAGTTTGTCCAGTCAGATACCGTAGTTACACCAGAAAAATTTTTGCACACATTCAGCCATAGTTTATACAAAAGAATTATGAAAAGACTGTAATGTTTTCAGTCTATTCATTCAACCTTTATTTAAACAGGTTAGTCCAATTGAGCCACAAGGACTCATTTAAAAGAGAGACCTGGATAAACTGTATTTATATAATTATAATGCATTCACAAGTTTTTGGTGAATAAATCTGTGACATTTTCACTGCACCTAAAACCAGACAAGAGTTGATATAAAAGTCCTTAAAATATCAGTGACGTTAATCATGAGGTGGAATCCATGTAATTTCTTTATGGGTTTTCTGTGCAGTTCATGTTTGTTGCTGTCCCAACTTCCTGTCTGTCTTTGTGAAGAACTTTGACACACGGTCACTTTTAGGCATGTTTAGGCGTTTTTATTGGATTTTAATTGAAGCTTGTCTTTACTTCCATCACACACCACGTGCTAATCCTCTACTTCTTTGCTGTTGTCTCACTGTACTTCTTTTTTATTGCTGTATTTTTAACAAAGTACCACTATTTTTCTTGGTAGAAGAAAAAACTGGGTTTGTGGAATTCACCTCTGAGGTATTTTAGGAAAGAGGATGCTTCTTTTTCTGTGACAGCCTCAATGCAGCTGAAAGCAACTTTCACCTGCTCAAGGTCTAGTCGCACAGAATTGTTAAAGAAAAATATTAACAATCGCGTGAATCACACGGTATCCCAAAGGGTGTGACTAATCAACTGAAACCTAGGTTTAGATGTTTTGTCCAACTTGAATGTCTATAATAAGAAAATAATCCAAATTTTCACATCACATTTGCTATAACTTCATAGAAATGAGGGTTTGCTTTTACAAGACAATAAATGATGGAGGGCGAGAAAGCATTTTTATGAATTTCTGGCTTTCTGTTGAGAAATATACCAACGTGACTGCATAAAAATTCCATTAAAATTTAATAGCTCAACACTGCAAGTCTATCTCATCCATGGTGCATTTCCTTCCTCTAGTGGCCACTTTGTTGCATAACTCAAAAAGACATTTACTCCAGCTGAGGACACTAAAATGTTAATGTCACGATGATTTGATCATTTATGGAAGTTTGCGGTCCTCAGATGTGCTGTTTTTCTCTCTTGCAGGTGAAGTGGAGGCAGAGCTGCTCCACACATACAGCCGTATCGACCCGTATGACACTTTAATTCTGTGTGTGCGCGTGGCTGTGCTAACTGCCGTCACACTTACAGTACCAATCGTGCTCTTTCCTGTAAGTAAGGCTTTAGCTCGTAATGCTAGTTCACTGGTTCATCATTTAATGTCTACCATTTTATTAAATGCGATGAAAAAACTGTCTTCTTTATTCTGTTCAGGTGAGGAGAGCAATCCAACAGATGATGTTCCCCAACAAAACCTTCTACTGGCCTCGCCACATCGCTATTGCCATCACTCTGCTCACTTTCATCAACCTGCTGGTTATCTTTGCCCCTAACATCCTGGGCATCTTTGGCGTCATTGGTAAGTTGACCCAAACCTGTGACATGGTGTAAATAATCAGTATAAGGCTGAAAATCAAAAGCAGACGTAGCAGTTCTTACAGAAAAGTACTAACAATAACATTGGAGCCAAATAAAAATTAAATTCTGATAAACCTAATTTATTCCACAAATACATGTATTTTTTTAAAATTAGCACACTTCACACAGCAGTGCTTCATTGTTCCACACCAAAGTTCAGACTAACTCACATCCAAAACAGTCAGAAGAGAAATCAAAGACAAACAGAATAACAGCTGTCTCCATGGCAACCGTCTCCATGATCCTCCATCTGCCTGCACGGACCAAACTCTACGGAACAGTTCGCTTTCTGCGGGGAAACCTTGGCTGTTCTGTGTCTGCTAGACCCGGTTCTGGAGGGCAGTCATTGTCCACTGCCGCAGTCGTTATTATCATCATGCTGCTAACGAGACTCCGCTGCTAACAAGACCACACTGCTAACAGAACCATGCTGCTAACAGTACCATGAAACAAAATAACAAAAGAACCTCACTGCTACCATGGTGCTAACGGGACCATATTGCTAAGAGAACATCACAGCCAACAGAACCACGTTGCTAATAGGACTATGCTGTTAACAGAACCACACTGCTAACAATACCATGGTGCTAAAAGAACCTCACTGCTAACAGTTCCACTCTGCTAACAGAACCATGGTGCTAACAGAACCTCACTGCTAACAGAACCACACTGCTAACAGTTCCACTCTGCTAAAAGAACCATGGTGCTAACAGAACCTCACTGCTAACAGAACCTCACTGCTAACAGTTCCACACTGCTAACAGTTCCACACTGCTAACAGTACCATGGTGCTAACAGAACCATGGTGCTAACAGAACCTCACTGCTAACAGAACCTCACTGCTAACAGTACCATGGTGCTAACAGAACCATGGTGCTAACAGAACCTCACTGTTAACAGTTACACACTGCTAACAGTACCATGGTGCTAAAGGGGACCACATTGCTAAGTGAAATTCACTGCTAACAGTTCCACACTGCTAACAGTACCATGGTGCTAAAGGACCACATTGCTAAGTGAACTTCACTGCCAACAGAACCACTCTGCTAATAGGACCATGCTGCTGTAGATGTATTTCTTTTTCACTTTTGGCGCCTTGTTTTTGTATTTTTGTTGCATGCTTTGGTATTTGTTGTTGGTTTTTTGGCCAGTCGAGGTGGTTCTTCTCATCCTGAGCATTTCATTGCATTGTTGACCGTGTGTTGATTTGCATATGACAAATAAACCTAAACCTAGCTCTTCAATAAAGTAACTAAAGATTGCTGTTCTAAATTTTCAATATTTATAAAAAAAACAAAACAAAGTGGTGCTTACAGTCTAATGCTGCGGAGTTGTAAAAGTACATGAGATTAACATGACTGAAAAGCCACCGATACATGTGTACTTTAACACAGATGTGATTAAGGGGCTGTGGTAGCTCAGTTAAGTGCCGTGACCTTGTAATCCTGGGGCTGCCGGTTTGAACCCAGGCTGCGTCAGGAAGGGCAACCGGCGTAAAACAGTTGTCAACAATTTCATGTGAGCTCACTCGCTCTGGCAACCCCTGCAGAAGAGAGCAGCTAAAAGGATATTCAATGACATAAGCTGCAATTTATTATTTAGGAATAGGTTCTTTTTCACGCAGAGATTTCTTAGCTTTTTTATTTTGTTTCCAATCATCTTTACTGCAGAGCAAATTTTCTTTAATCTGCTTTAAATCAATGAGTGTCAATAAGTTGTTTTATGAATATGTCTGTGTTTTTTTTATGTGCTTTCCAGGTGCCACATCTGCACCCTGTCTCATCTTCATCTTCCCCGCGGTCTTCTATATTCGTATTGTACCCAAGGAGGAGGAGCCGCTGTGCTCGGTTCCAAAAATCTTGGTGAGATTTGCTTGGAAATCTTGTTTAATTTTATGAAAAAACAAACAAACAAAAAAACTTTGAATAAAAATATGCTGCACCAGTGCAGGATTAAAGCCCCTCTGCCACAAATCTTTGCCGCGCAGCTTTTCATTGAGAAGACAAAATGTCAAGATGTTTGATTTTAGTTGAAGCATCTGTAACACCCCCCAGTTGTTACTTTGTGTCTTTATTTTTTTACTCTGCCTGTTTCTGTTTCAGGCTGCCTGCTTCGCTGGGATCGGTTTCCTATTTATGATCATGAGTCTGAGCTTTATCATCATCGACTGGACATCGGGCAGCAGTAAAGCCAGCAGTGGTCATTAGACACCTTCCTGTTTTTTTTTCTTTATATTGTTAATATGGGATTGTGTTGTAATGTTTCTGTTTATGCGTTTGTTGAAGATGCCCTTTCTTTTCCGTTAGAGACTATCTGCCACAGACACTTAGGTTCAGGGCAGCTCTCTGATTACTCTCGCTTTGATAAGGTTCTGTACCTGCTGCCAAACAATAACTGAAGACCCAGGCCAGTACACTTTAAATATTAAATATTTGGTGAGAAGTTTCTTTGCTTGAAGGCCAGTTGTGAAACTTAAAAGGCTGCGTCTTGTGACAAAAGTGGTCTTGATACGTGTGGAGCATCTATCTCCTCGCACAATCCAAGTTTGTATCAAAACGATCTTATTATGCACACAATCTGATACAGCTCCCTTTTAGCTGCTAAAGAAATTTGATTTTTTTTTTTAGAGATTATATTACTTAGATGCCTGCTATATTTGAATACCTACATATTTTAGTGCAGCTGCACTTGTGCAGTTGCAGGAGACACATTTATAAGAGCAACTGAAGGATGTATAACAAGAAGAGTTACTTTTAAATGCTCTCTTACTGAGAGTGAAACAAGAAGACTGAAAGCACAGTCGGGATTGTAAATAACCATATGACTATACTATATACTATAACTATATGACCAGTTAGACTTAATAGACTTAGGAATTTATTAAAGGTGGGACACATTAAAGAGATAGTTAATGAAGTGGAGTTTTGGAGACAGGTTATATACAATAAGAATTAGGGATGCATGATATTGGATTTTCGGCTGATATTCAATATGCCGATATGTTAAAACTTATTTGGTCGATAACCGATACCAATACTGATATTTTCCTTATACACCTACTTCCAGAGACTACATAGCTTTCTCTGCTGTGGAATTAAAACAATACATTATTCTGCATGATCTTTGTTAATTTGGCCTGCTACGAAATGCAGATGCCAAAAAGGGGACTGAAAATGATGTAACACTTCAACTTGGATTATGTTTAATGTCAAAATATATAAATATTTATTTATATATGTGTGTATATATATGTATGTATATATATATATTATATATATATACATACATATATACATATATATATATATATAAATAAATATTTATATATTTACATAAATATATATATAT